TGCATATTACACATTCATAATATAGAAAAAATTATATAAAAAAATAATAAGAAAATCATATTTTATAAAAATATTGTGTATAAACAAATAGATACATAAAAAAAATAATAAGAAAATATTGATTAATAAAAATATTATGTATATACAAATAGATACATACAAAAAAATATTTAAAAAAATAATAAATAAAATATGGATTAATAACAATAATAAAATAAATAAATAAAGATATATACAAAACAAAAGAATGAAAAAATAAAAAAAAATTAAAAAGATGAGAGAGAATATGGACGTTCCACATTTATTCCTCTCCTGTAAAATATTATAATGATGTTCAATGTGCAATGCAAATTTATTTTTATTGTAATTATAAATGTGTATCGTATTTTTCAATACGATCTTATAGATTGTGTAAACTTATATTTCGTTCATGTTTTGTGTCGGTTGTGTGTCATTTCTTTGTGTTCTTCTGTTTCAGGTACCTAGATCATAGTATTTCCTTCTATCCTAAATTTCCCTTATTTCCTTTTGAATCCTCCCGGGTGTGCGGTCGCGCGTTTGCTCTCATTTGCTGTGAACGAGAGCAGCGACTTCCACGTGGCCGCATCCCCAGGTGCAAAAGGTATATCACCTTCTCTCGAAGATGATAACCAGGTATCAATTCAAGCGCAATACATAGCCTCTGAATTGATGCAAGACCGTTTCGCATATGACCTTCACGAGGTTGCACCTGTTTTCATACAGAATATGTATACGGATCTCGTTTTGATCCACTAGATTTACCATACGCTGGTTTATCTATGGGATTAAAATTAAATTCTATATCCAATTCTAAAATCCATTCAATTCATCAGTGTTTCGCCTATTAAATTCTTACACAAACAACACAAAAAACAAAATGTGTGCTTCTCGAATTAGGCGATTTATAGAGGTGTGTGGGGTGAGGTAAAAAAAAGTTTGGCAGACACTGGTTTACTGTTTCGATGCAAACAACTTTGTTTTATTAGAAAACTCCCGCTCAGAATTTCAAAATTTTCAAAAATCATGTTTTTTGATAGTGAGTAATAAATAATAGTAATAATAATATATTAAATATTTATTTAAATTTGAAGTTATGTACATACAATAAAAAATATATTTAAAAGAAATCGATAGTAAAAACAAACAAAAAAAATAGATATAAAAAGAGAACTAAATTATGAACACACATCTCTTAAAATACAATTAACTATCTAAAACCGCCGACACACAGAGAAAGCATATACCTACAGACAATGAAGACACGCAGCATTCAATCGTTCAAATAAAATTATTATTATTAGTCACCTAAATTAGTCTAAATTAAAAAATTTAAAAAAACAACAAATACATCACATCTCAATGAAAAAATACGCAGTCACTGCCTAACTCACACTCAGTTCTCTTCACAATAAACGTGAAGCAATAGGAAAAAAAAAATGTAATTCGTAATTATAAGGAATTCGATTGTTGATGTGGATTATTTAATTTGAATTGATTATATAGTAAGTTCGCATGTGAGCATGTTTTCCGTTGCAGTCAATTCTCTCTAATATTACTGATCGCTGTTTTGAGCGTCGCGTCGCGTCGATCGTTGCAAGAGAAATTGCTAACGGTTTGCGAACTTACAAAGAATTGCAATAAAATATACCTACATTATTGCCACAAGCCGGCATAGTTTCCGGTCAAGGTGGCGGACAGAGGACCACCGGCAGTGAACAGACGCGTCCCACTCGTGTCGTAACAGTGCGTGTAGATGGCCGGAACGTACTTTACGTTCTGTACATTCTCAATATGTTCCTCGTCTGGAAACTGTAATCATCATCATCATCGTTAATGAGCGAACATAATATACATAAATATATCGATGAGCGGCACTTACGACGTAACCACGACTTGCTTTCAGCACGACCGTCCTCGACGAGTTTATGCTAGACTCTATAAATTTCCCAGCCTTCAGATCGTAGAACAGAATCATCCCTAATCCAGTGCCGGTCGTGAGGATATCACCTTGGAAACTGGCGGAACGCACGCCGCATCCAGAGTGCCGAGACGAAATTTTTCTCACAGCCTACCAAACATTCACAATTAATTCTGAATCCTCCACACTTTGTCTCATTATAATTCTATATGTTTCACCTGCAACGTCCTGCAATCTAACAGCAAGGTGTACGAGCGACTCCCGATCGCGTACAACCCTGAATCTTGCACCGCCAAACAGACGTTCTCTTGAGTCGAAGGCAGCTTTCGCGTCAGTTTCTGCTTGAAGGTTTCCGCACTCCACACGTGAATGTATCCATTGAGACTCAAAGCTGCCACTTCTTTGTACGCCTTATTAAACGTTATTGCTCTCACCTATAAAACATACAACTATAGTTTTTCTATTTCCTCCTGCTAATAGAACAAACACACTCACCTTTTGTGAATTTTTACAATCCTTGACTGCTTCAGCTGTAATACTTTTGTATATATGTATATCCTGTTTCTGTTCGACCACTTCAGGCGTAATCCTCCACAGTGCCATTTTATCACAAGACCCAGACACGAGAAACTCGTCATCCAGCCAGCACATATCGAACACCTAAAGATTGATTTGAAAGAATTAATTTCATTTGTTCGATAGAAACATTCGAAGATGGAACATACCCAATCCTTGTGGGCATTCTCGCCGACGCAAACTGGATCCAAAGTGGGCAACCTGTAGACGGCGATATCGCACGCGTTCCTCGCGGCCGTCGCGAGCAGCGTTTTCGACGGATTAATCTGCACCGAGTGTTTGCCACACTGATGCTGCTCGGTGGGATTCCTTCTGCTCACCAACGAAGGGATCTGATCCAAAGCGTGCGTGACTACATCGTAGACCATCAACTGTGAATCAAATACAATAGCATTCGCATTGGCGTTAGTTGTTAATCTCTTGACTTTACCTTATTGCACTTTGTACCGAAAACAACCTGTCTATCACTCAGCCACTGCGAACAAAATATCTTATTCATGTTACCCAAATTGACTGGTGTCTCTTTGAACATTTCATGTGTGAGGATGTGCCTAGAACCGTAATCACTTTTGATGCTCCTAATGTCTCTGCTGAGCATTTCTCTAGTCCGAACATAGTCCACTATATTATACGACGTTCTCAGCACCTCCTTCTGCGTGGTCAAACTCTCCTCATCACTGTCACTATCATCGTAGCAGATGAAGTCCTCGGGCTTGTCAGGTTTCCTGTTTCGCTCCAAGCGTGCTGCGGTGGCTTTGTTGCTCCTCTCCTCCAGCCTCTGCAGTATCGAGCAAGACGGAGTCCTGCCATATATCGGGTGCATTCGAGTCTTGGACATTGGAATTCGCTATTCTACCACTCACTCTTTAACACTATTTACAAAACGCGTTTCGTGCACTCTCCTAACTTAAAACTAGTCACAAACACATCGTCCCGCCGTGCCTCCTGTCCTTTAGCCCTGCCACATCCGTACGATTACATACAATTAATTACAACATTTATAAATAACATAGAAATATTTGTCAACAAATAAAATGACAGATCTAACTGGATGTAACCACAATCAACTAAAATTGCTCGACTAGAACAGTTGTCAGACGTTCGCAACCACAAATACACAACATTTTTATTGTTTATATCGTTTATATCCTCAATAATAATACAATAAATAACAATAACATAGCTAGGATAGATTCAAATGAAACTCATAATATAATTATCGCTTTAGTATGAAGTCTCTGTGTAAAGAAAATAAGATAATATTGCAAGTGTAGTTGGACAACACGGCTTGCAAACTGTGGGGTGTGGATATAAAGCGATCTACATTACCGGCACCATCTTCATCTTAATTGATCATCGCTGATGGCTGGCGATGATAGAAACTATAATAATTCGTGATTACATAAAAGATTGAGCAATTTCATCGGAATGCCGCTAATCAATAATTAACCGAAGAGTGTGTTGATTGAGTTTTTTGAGTTGCCTACGATAGGAAAAAGTTGGCAATGCAAAATAAAATGCAATGACATAAACAAAAGAAGATGTCTTCTTAGAATTTAATGTGTCCTAACATGAATGAATTAAAAGTGTATTCTTGAAGCTCCACCACGAAACGTCTGGAAAGTGCGTAGAAAGTAATAATGTCGAAGAAAAGTACAATCGAAGTGTTCCAAACGAAGATCTCCAGGAATGACCGGTTTGCTCAAATGTCTCATCAGGAGAAACTCATCGAACAGAAGAAGAAGGAGATCCAGGCGAAGCTGGAGCAGAAGCAGAAGGCTGCAACAACGGATCACTCTGCAAGGAGCACCAGCTCCATGGTGACCGGGAGCAGTTGTGCATCAGCTAAACAGGCTAAAAGGTTTGCCTCATCTTTGTAACTATTGTGTTTTTTTTTATGTTTTTCATTGAGATGTATTTAGCCCGGTGAAACAGCAGGTGAAGAAAGCTTTTAACTTTAACACATTCTCAAGTGACGGAACTTTCATGAAGCAATTTAAGCAGCTGAAAGAGAAGAAGCATCATGATTATAAAGATTCTAAGCAAAAAATGTTTAAATGGGACAATCATGACAGATACAATAGGTAATAAGTATGTTGAGGAGGAGAATATTATATATTTTCAAGTTGCAAGAGAAATCACATGAAATATGAGATGATATTTGATAAATGTGTGTTATGTAAAATGAAATATTGGATTTTGCCATTAATTGAATATATATGTCTTTGTTTGTAGTGAGGATAGGAGCAGAAGTAAATGGAAGAGGGAGGGTTTACTAAAGGATGGTGGTGGTAGTAGAGTGATGCAGAAAGTGAGGACCACGAGATTTTCAGATAAACCTTCGCAGAGTTTCGAACCAAAAATAAACATAAGCTCCTCGTACAGCAGTCTCATCTCGCAGTCTCAGTCCAATTACGATGGTCAATCGATGGTGCAGGATGTGACCGGACAACCGTTGCTTAAGAATCTCGTCGCGCAGAACGTTCAGTTTCCACTGTCCCCGCAAAACTCGACGATCATCGCCGCGGCACCATTGCTGCTGAACGTGCCGCCTCCGCAGATCTCGAGTCTGCAAAGTCAGATGGTGCTGCAGCCACCGCAGCAGACGATGGAAATGGTCGATCTGTGTCCGACGACGACTACGACGACGGTCATCACGACTGTTACGCTGCCGCCGCTTCAAGGACAAACGACCGATAACGGTGGTACTGCGATAATAACGGTACCTCCACCGTGCATGCCACCCACCATCGAATTGTCGAGCATACCGCCGCCGAATCCGATTCAGGTGCACAACATACCGCCGCCGGAGCCGCTGAACACTCTCACCATCCCACCGCCAGCTCCGCTTCAGGTCCAGAACATCCCTCCGCCATCGCCGATCCATCTGAACGAAATACCGAACCCGAAGCCGTTGGACATTCTCAGCATTCCGACGCCGTCCGAACCGATGGACGGCGGCAGCGGCGGCGGAGGTGGTGGTAGTGGCAAACCTTCGATGGTGGAACACCGAAACCCTCCGGACTTTATCAAGAACATCCCGCCGCCGAACAAGTCGGTGCCACCGCCGAACCTCAACGATCAGATATCATCGATCGTGGGGCAGACGAAGCCGGTGGTGCAGCAGCAGCAGCAACAACAACAGCAGCCTCCACCTCCGCCACCCTCGACTACCTCGATACCTACTTGCCTTCCACCACCTAACATCATGCCGCCGACGTCCATGCCGCCGCCGCAGAACATCCTACTTGCACAACAGCAGCAGCAAGCGCCGCAGAACATTCTACTTGGACAGCAGCCACCGCAACAGTATATGCAGTTGCAGTCGCTGCTGCCGCCTCCATCGCAGCTAGTCAACATGCAGCCGTCACTCCTGGCCGCCCAATCTATTCTGTCTCCACCTCCCTCAATCGGTATAGTACCGCCCCCGCCCATCAACATGAACTGCCCGCCTCCGGCTCTTCAGCAGACCGGACCAATGCAAGTGCCTCCACCGCCGCCGCCGCCTCCTCCTCCAGTGCAGTCCGCGTTCATCACTCAAATGCCTCCGACGATGCTTACGGCGACCGCAACCAACAACGGTCAGCTATTCCAACTCATCGAGTCGCAGACCATCACGGACGTTAACACTCCAGGTAACAATATAATTTCCATTCGACGACGTTGAACGATCTCTCACATGTTTTTATTTTATTCAAAATTATTATTACTATTATGTTAACGTGCGCTTCACATTAACACTGCCTCTCTTCCCCAACAGTAACAGGTACTCTATAGCAGATGTCCGACACAATTCATTCATTCATTTATTTATATATATAATATTTATATATATACATATTTGAGATGTTGAACCAAAATTACAAAATATGTTTGTCTATGTTTTCTTTTCTTTTTTTTTCTCTGTTTCTCTCTTGTAATGGGCTGGTGGCGGCACCATTCTTTAACGCATTAATTCCCAACATTATGGTATATAGTAATCATGCATTGTATTGTAGGAAACAAACAAATAAGTATGGGAGTTAACGTGTTAAAGTTTATTTGAAAATTTGGGATAAACACACACTAATGATAATGAAAATTTCAAATTTGAAATTTCGACATAACATTGTAGAGCAGTAATTTCCCAAATTGTTCAGATTGTCTAAAATTACTGATGAGTAAGTGGGCGTGTCGCAATGGGCCAGTCGGCCAGCCCAGAACGGTGCGTAGGTGTGGCATGTTTAGTGACGGTTTGTGAAGTATTTCCCTCAGGTTCGGCCGATTACGAGGCGATGGCGTCTCTGGGACGCATGGTGGCTCAATGCGGACAGGGCATCGAGGACATCGTTCGGCAACGCAAAAATCAAGATCCCAGTCTGTGGTATGCAGGCCTGTTCTCTTCCACAGCTCACCGCTGTTTCTTTAGCTAAAATTAATTACAAAACAAACAAAACAACAACAATTGTACAAAGAAAGTATATAATCAACACCCCCACCTCATATATCTATATATATATATTGAATTGAATGCCTGCCATCCTTACACTGCTCTCTCTCACGCGCGCGTTTTCCCTAGTAGATTTTGGCAGTATATATTTTCGCAGTGTAAGTGTGGTGTGAGTTTTACCGAGTGCCTGCGTTGATTGCGAGAATAAGAGTTGCGAATGTGAGCGAAATAGAGAGTTTATTGAGTGTGCGTAAGTCGTCGGCCTCGACATTGTTGACCTGTATTCCTGGTGCATGTTTTAGGTTTCTGTTCCACAAGGAGTCCGCTGCCTATCAGCAATATCTGCAGATGGTCGAACAGTTCAAGTCGGAGATGGTTGCGACGACGACGACGACGACAGTCTTGGACACGAGCGACGATTACAGACCGGAGGACATTTACGAACCGGAGATGCCCAGCGATGTTGGTGATTTGCTGATGATGACCACGACGGTGACGACCACGACGACGACAACTGTAGTAGATGATAGTAGACAACAACATCATCACCACCAAGGAAGCAAACGTAGAAGGAAAAGCCGTTGGGGTAACAATGAGGAACTCTCTTTACCATCGACGGGTTCCGTTGATTTACCACCTCAGCCCAAGAAAGGAGGTAAAAGTTGTATGCAACGTTAATCTTCTCATTTCTGATTGTCGTATTGTTTTAGGTAGCAACAAAGCTCCTCGTTTTTCAACGAAGGTGACGAGAAACGATCCGGCTCTGATACAGTACGCGGTTAACGCGTTCGGTTCCACGAATCTCAGCGAGGAGGAATGGTGCAAGGCTGAGGATCATTTCAAAATTAACTTGCTGTACCAGGATATGATCCGCAAACGGCAGGAGGTGGAACGGCTACAAAAGACCGGCCTCAACAAGTACGAATACGATTCTGACGAGGAAACGGAGGGCGGCACCTGGGAGCACAAGTTGCGCGAAAAGGAGATGGTCGCCACGCAGCTGTGGGCGAACGAACTGACGCGTCAGGCGGAGGGCAAGCATCACATCGGCGATTTCTTGCCACCCGAAGAGTTCAAAAAGTTCATGGAGAAAAGCGAGGCGGCCCGCGACGGCAGGCACGTTGACATCTCCGATTACAAGGAGTTCAAGCTGAAGGAGGACAACATCGGTTTTAAGATGTTGCAGAAGCTTGGCTGGTCCGAGGGTCAGGGTCTGGGCTCTGAAGGCAGCGGCATTCTGGAGCCGGTCAATAAGTATTCATACACTTTGCACTCTCTTTACACCCTAATTACTATTTGCTGTTTGCTTTTCAGAGGATGTCTAAGGGATTCCAACCAGGGTTTAGGATTGGATCAAGCGGAGAACATTGCCACCAACGACGATGAGTACGACGCGTACAGGAAACGAATGATGCTGGCTTACAGATTCAGGCCGAATCCTTTAGTACGTACAATATCTTACAAATGCAGATGATTATTATGAATCGATATTTTCTTTTTCCAGAATAATCCCAGGCGACCTTACTATTAAATCAATAATATGTTATATTTAAAAATTATAATTATGCTCAAAAAAATTACAGAAATATATATATATATTGTTTTTTTTTAAATATATTATCAACATCATCCGATTATTGCTCACCACCTGTAATTATAAAAGAGAACTTACCAATAAGTATAGTATGCTAGAAACAACAACTGTTTCAACTTATCCATGGCATACGTGATTAGGAAGTAATATTTAATGAAAACTCGTTTCGAATTAACATTTAATCGTTTTTATTTCATATTTTTTTTTTTGTACAGTACAGAGAGCGTAAAGTGTTCAACAACAGTATTTAGTATAATTTAATTTGATAATAATAGTAATGACAATAATAATAATAATTAAAACTTGTTACACAATAAATCGATTCAGATCTGCTTGATTTCCTCGTTCACAGTATTCATGACCATCATCGTCATCATGTTTAGTTCCTAATAATAAAATATGTCACTCTCTAAATAGGCTTAAGCTTTTTCTTTTCATTTTTGTAATTCACTCGTCTCGTTCCCTTCTCATCTTCAGCGTTGTTTTCGTGTGTGTTGTTTCTGTGGTGTTTTTCTTGTATTTTTGTCGTGATGTATGTGTGTATGTGTATATATATAAATGTTATTTATGTACGTTGTGGTGTGTGTGTTTGTGTGTGATTATTACGTGGCAAATCCATTTTTTTGCTGGCAAGTTCAGATTCCGCCCGTTCCACTAGTTTTCTTTTCGTTTTAGTTTGTAATTTTTCTTATTTAGCTTCTTCCCATTTACATATTACTATTATTCTTATTGTCTCCATTAACTAATCAATTCACTCGATTCGACAATGCGTTCAATGCGACCCTGCTCGCTGCTCGTTCCTTCGGCTATTTCCGTTCTTCCCGAAGACTTTCGGAAGTCCTATCTGTTTCTAAGGCAGAGAGAACTTGCATCTTCTCTTTTCTATTAACTCATTGTGTCTTTACTATTTTTTTGTTCTTCTCTTAATGACTGAAAACAAATCGAAACGAAACACCGGTGTCTAGACAAAAACTCACTACATTTAATAATAATAATAATTCTTAATAACAAGCGTTAAAATTTCTTTAAGTTACGAATGAAAATGATCGCTTCAGTAATGAAAAAATATGTATAATTTTTTTTTTTTTGATTCAATGCCACCAACGCATGGTATCATCATCTCCTTACTTAGTGATATTTTCTATACCTTTTTTTCCCTTTAAATCTGATTATAGATTCTCTCTCTCTCTCTTTGATGGACGTCAATTAAGTTTTATTATTTTCATTAATTATATTTATATAAATCCTTAAGGTTTAATAAGTTACTTGCTGTTTTCTTTCATTAAAACAAATGTTCGGTGCGTAAAATAGATATTTTCTCTGATTAAACTGTTGAATTATGGTTATAGAGTTTGTAAAATGTAATTAAGAATCTGTTATGGATATTATAGTACACTTCTTTCGGTTTCTGTTCTGTTTCGGGTTTGTTGTTGTAGTTTGTTTTTTAAATCAGAAAAAGAAACGTTCCTCGAAAATTCATGAACAGCAAAGGTGGTGTGAATTCATTAGACTAAAACCGTGGAATATATAATATATATAGTATTTAAACAAGCCAATTTTGAGATCTCTAGTGCGGACGATGCCCGATGTCAGCCTCACCGATCTTGAGGGATCCTGTGGCCCCTCAATATTTTGCTTTGCTGCAATTGTATAAAAGAAAACTCGATCTTTGTTTGGATGGATCGGAGATTCTAGGAGACGTACCTGATATTGTTCCTCGGTGTCGAGAGTGCCGACGACCGCGACGATCTGATACTGGCGAGCCTTCATCGAAGCCTCGCTCTTCCTGAGCAACCGAAGAGCACCCGCCGAAGAGCTTGTGTCACCGAACTGAGCCATCTGCTGGGGCGAGTGACTCGGATCCAGAACCAAAAGCACCAGCGTTCCGTCCTTCTGAACTTCGATCCCCATTATCGTTCTGCTGTGCCCTGCAAACAAGACGTGTAATTGCTGCTGCTGCTGCTGTAGATGATCATCTCTGCATTACCTTGATGCTGCAAGTAAAGTGGCGCGACGAAATCACCATTGGGACAGCCTTCGAAGTATTTGAGGACCCATCGGAAGAGTTCGGGATGGCTTCCGCCGGCGCCCGTCGGCCTATGGAAGTCGATCAGCTGGCATTTAATGCGCAGGAAGGCGAGGAGGGTTACCACTTCGGTAGCCCCAATCCACTTCCGCGTATTCACCAGTTTGCTACCCAGTTGCTCGGAGCCCTGATATCATTCTATCAATATTCTTGACACAATTGAATTAATGTTTAGTCTCACCTGTATATCGAAGCCTTGCGACCAAGCCAACTCGATCAGACTCTGCAGACGTGATATGCTGGGCACGGAACTCCTGGGTGGTCTCTGATCCTTCCACAGCTTGTAGAGCCGCTCGTTGTAGCCGGTGTGCGTGAGCAGGCTGGAGATGAGCATCTGCGTGTTCCTGTAGCCGCAGCCCCAGCCTCTGTCACCGTAAGAGGAAGCGTAGTGATCGACGCAAGTGCACGTCACCGTTCGCACCACGTTCGTCGCGTTGAAACTCATCGCCTTGACGCGAGGCACCTGCGCAACCAAACACCAACAACAGTCAGAAGACATCTCCAGTTTTCGAATGATAGCGTCACTTACGATGGTCCTCGTCACGGAACTACCATCGTCGACGCCGCAGCTTTCCGCCGCTTTCAAATCGAGCGTGCGTTCGTAGTAATCAGCAACGGACATTTCGCCTGCATAAACGGCCCTCTGCATATTCGTTACCGACTGCTCTCGGAAGTTCCCTTGGTCATCCATGCCATACTGGGCTCGCAGCAGCTCAAACTCGCGCTCCTCTCGCTTCCTGAGGGCTTCCCTGTCCACCGGGGCCGGAGACGTGGCAGGAAAATGCGACTCGACATGCCTCGAAGCAAGTTCACCCTTGAAAGAATCAAATACTACATAAGTATTTCCACAAATTTCATTATTCTATACTACTCTACTAGTACTGTGAGTGTTGTTAACTTTACTACTACTACTACAGGAGGTACGCATCTACAGTGCTTTTCGATCCAACATGTACAAAAGACATGAACTCTACGGTAACGTGTAGTATAGCAAGGGAATGAAACTCACATTTTCGTCGAGCGTAATGCCGCAGACGGGGCAGGAGTAGGCGGCCGAGGAGGCCGGCGAAAGAACATCTTTGTGCTCGATGTTTACATGCAATTCGAGATCTGGGGCAGAATTGAACGACTTCGAGCAGAGCGGACACGGGAACACTTCGCCCGTCGATCCGCCCACCGACGGCGAGGTCAAGTCGAAGTGTTGTCTGCAAACAACATATCTCATCAACACACACCTGCGTCCCATCATCGTAAAAAGTTTTAACGCGATGAATGAACAGAAATTGTCTACCCGACCCGAAGACCGATCAAATATTTGATGTTTGCATGAATATACAGAATGAACCAATAAGTTGATTAATTTTCATTCCAAATTAAATATTTCACTTATATTTAAAGATTGGGATCATTATTAGTATTAAAGAAACTGCTCTAGCATGCAGTGTGTAAGTAGACGATCCTATACCGATTTGATAAATGTCAATTAAACTATTGATGAATTGTTGTTGTTGTAGTAAAATGAGAAAAAGGTCTCACCTATTAATATGTTCTTCTAATTCCGTTGGACTACCGCTAGTATAATTACACATTGGACATTGTAGGGTTGGAGAGGCGTTCTTCAGCTTGAGATTAAGACTGGACCTAAGAGGTGAACCCTGGCCATGAGTCGAGGAATTCTTCGGACTCAATTCGCCGCCGCCGTTCACTAAACTATGCTGCAAACAAAATAATAACAACAACAACAATAACAAGAGTGCAAAGTTGGAAAGTACCTTGGGACTTTTCAGATTGATATTGTTGATGTTGTTGGAGGAGGCATGACTGTTGCAGTTCGAGAGGGCCCTGCCGTTCCAGTTCCCGCTGCACTCCCCATTTGTGCTACCACTGAAATCACTGCAAATTAAATGTTAATGTTTCTTGATCATGAGATGCTGCGTATTATCACATTACCTGGGGCTTGCATCGTCTATGAAAGTCATGTTGAGTTCAGATTCTGGTGTGAGGAAGTCCAGGTGGGCCTGGTTGACGTGCAGCAGCAGCTCGGAGGGTGATATGGACCCCAGCTGGCAGAAGGGGCAGACGGCGTGACCGTTCACGTGCGCCGTGTGCGTGTGCACTCGGAAATCCTCCTCTGTGAGGCCCTCCAGACCACATATCTCACAGCAGAAACTAACCTCGGGGACATTGCTAGCCATGGTGATGGTGGTGGTGGTGCTTCAGACCATTTAAACTTGCTGGTCTTCTCCAAGAGTGGTGAGTGCGTGCATGCATTCAGGTTGCGGCTACGACTGGGAAGCGTTTCATGCACTTTACCTAAAAAAATACCTGATGTAAACTAATTAATTCTAAATGCCCATTGGATCATTGAAGGGGTATTTTGACGTCTGTGACCTAGTTTCGGGGCAACCCCCGACACAGTTTGCCTCCGTTGAGGGTTGCATACGATCGAGACGGAGTTCCTCTTCCGCATCGTGCACCCACTGCCGCATTCCAATCGAAATATGTATAAAAAAAAAAAAAGAAAACAACCGACAACACAATAACACGACGAGGTTGTAGATTGCGCTCGATGGGATGCCTACGTTGCGACCCCATTGACTATAATTCCATAATTCTTGTATCGATTTGTTTAGAATCTCTTGCAAATGCATTGGCAGTCATGCTGTGCTGCTCCCTTTACGTTTTGACAAAAAGCACATGACATAATGTGCTGAACATTTCGAAGAATTCCAGTGAACAATTAATACAGTGAGGTGTATTAATTGGGGGGGCGAAGAACGATCAGCAAAATGCAGTTTTACACAGTATTAGACCAATGGTTGTATTCAGTAAATTCCTAAATTTCCAATATCTATACGCAATGAATATGGACAGCAGCACCTTCATTGTATACAACTTTCCCAGTATCTCATACATCGGGGCTGTTGTCATCTGTCTGGCCTCTCTCTACTTCTTTTGCTCGTACAACCGGGAAGCGAAAGATGTACCCATCAGAGATGTCTCCAAAGATCACAGTTGGAGAGCCATCCAGGTCTCATCCAGAGTATGTCATTATGAAATCTATAAAGCGAGCGGAGGTCTAATTTAATGTTATCCCTCCCCCACAGCCCTGGTACTGTTCCATATGTGAGCTGCTTCTGATCAACGGTATCGGAGCCTACTGTGATTGCTGTGGAGTGTGCGCCGACCCTGAATGCATCAAGAAAGCCAACAAAACGTTGATCTGCAAAGTCATCACAAGCAAAAGTGACAGGCATCTGCATCATTGGGTCAAAGGGAATCTTCCGTTGGGAGCCACATGCTCGATATGCATGGAGGAATGCATGGATTTTGGCTTGGCCGATTACCAGTGCTGCTGGTGTCAGAGAGCAGTTCACACCAAATGTTTACCTGCTGTTGAGAAGGTACTTGAATTGTTGATCTGTCTGTATATTGTTGTGAATGAAGGTGTTGCAGGAATGCGATTTTGGGCCGTACAAGTCGATGATTGTGCCGCCGTGGTGCGTGCAAACTGCGCGCATGAAGAGCAGCATCCACAGACATCTGCTGCTGAGGGGCGTCAAAGATCCGGGATGGGAGGATTGGTCGCCGCTCATCGTTGTGGCGAACAGGAAGTCGGGAAACAACGACGGCGGGACGATTTTGTCCGAATTCAGGAAGATACTTAATCCTGCTCAGGTCATCGATCTGGCGGAGCGGCCTCCTGCAGCCGCCTTGCAGTGGAGCGTTCTGGTTGCTCCGAAACCGATTAGGTTGTTGGTGGCAGGTGGCGATGGCACCGTCTCGTGGATGCTTACAACCTCGTATAAAATGGATCTGGAAGTATGATTTAATGATATGGTAGGTACATGCGAAAGTTTATTATGTGGGTGAATTGAATTTGCAGCCTCCTCCAGCCGTATCAATTTTACCGCTCGGCACCGGCAACGATTTGTCCAGGGTTCTCGGTTGGGGCAAGGAGAATTCCACCGATCTCGACGCAGTCAGTATTATGAAGAAGATAGACGAGGCCAAGTTGTCCGATATAGACAGATGGAGGGTGGACATTACGCCTCCGAAACATCTGGGCATCCAACTACCAGCGAAGACGCATTTCATGTACAACTACTTCAGCGTCGGCGTGGACGCCCAGGTAGCTCTGGATTTTCACAAGACGCGCGACAGCAAATTCTACCTGTTCAGCAATCGGATCTTCAACAAGGTCTTGTCTATGATATGTCTAATTATGAACTTTTACGCAAACTGTTCTCTCGCAGATATTGTACTTAATATTCGGGACGCATCAGGTCATGTGGTCCGACTGCAAGAACATCGAGCAGCACTTGGATCTCTATCTGGATGGGAAGAAAGTGGAACTTCCCGAATTGGAGTCGGTCGTCGTTCTGAACATTCCGTCGTGGGGTGCAGGCGTGGATCTGTGGAGTAACGTTAATCAATCGTGATCGTGTTCCTTCTCAACACTTGATAATTCTTGCAGGCATGAGCGGTGATTCCACGACTCAGTCGTACAAGGACGGAGTGCTGGAGGTGCTGGGCATCTACTCCTCGTTTCACATCGCCCAACTTCAAGTCGGGCTCTCCACGCCGCACCGCATCGGCCAAGCTAAGAACGTCGAGGTATTCATTCCCTCTCAACAACAATGAAATCGTTTAAGACTTTACGTTTTCTTTCAAGATCCAGCTGAAAGCAACGTCTCCCGTTCAGGTGGACGGCGAACCGTGGGAGCAGCATCCGGCCAACATAAAGATTTCCATCGTCGATCAGGCCACAGTCCTGGTGAACCGCAAACGTAGTTCAGGTCACAGTTCAGCCTCCTCCCCGCTGAAGATTAATTCAAAATAGACATCCCCCCAATAAAAAACCCACAAAAAAGAAATACTTTTGCATTTATCAATTGCATTGGCACGTTAATTTGAATGATTATGTGAATGTTTCTATCGAATTAGGGGAACAAAAATGATGTTCATCTCGGTTGTTTGTTGTCTTTTCCGTTTATTTATGTTGATTTTAAATATATACACCCATTAAATCAACAAAATCCAATACTATGCAACCCAAACACCATTCTTCGAAAGAGATTGGCAATCTAGATAATATTTTCAAAATTGATTAATTAACAAAAGAAGTCCGACGTCAAAAGTGACACTAACATGTCCGATTTTGAACCATCTCTGTACTTGCATATGTAAATTGATTGTAGCAATTAGATTTGTAGTTTATATTAATTTCGAACGAGGACAGAACAACAATATTGCAAAGTACATAATGCAAATTTGGAGTTGATCAGTTATTGAAACGATTTTTATATAGAGTTCAACGCAACCGATCAATATTATTGCATGGTTTGAAAAACCAAAATATGGACCAATCACAAACGCGGAGAAAGCCTTCTTGCTGCTGCTGCTGCAACACTCCTTCGAAATTGGTTCAGTTTAATTGCAAACTGAATTTAGGGATACATTTTTTTCTTTTGCATAAAGTAAAAACGAATAACAAGAGCTTTGCCTAATGACGCGTGAAGAACTGATTAATGCATGAATATGCATATTGGATATTCACACATCAATTTAGATTGCATCACTCGAGTGGATGGAAATACATTGCAATCAAAATACAAAAAAAAAAAAAATGCGATAAATATTCATTAACGAAGCATGCTTAACATTTTTAATACATGTTTTAATACATAAAATCGAAACGCGGCGTATTTTGCAAGTGAATCGGACGAAAATAGTATCTAAATTTACAATTACGTTGATTGATAGTTTTGAAAAAAAAAAAAATGTTTCGTGTTTCTTGAATCATCATAATCTGCTGGCGCCGCGAGTTGCAGCGATGATGAAGAATAAGAAGGGACACGTTCACGGCCTTCTGAATTATACCAGTTTTTACTAGAGCCCGCTAGATTACTACTTGTATCCATCATTCAGGGTCGCTTTGCAATTGCAATTTGTAATCTCGATGGAATGCGATCTTCGTCCAAAGTTCGTTAAATATCGAGTATTGAAAAAAAAAAGGAGATCATGTAAAATCAAGAAATGGAAGTGATTAATGCGCGTTCCGAGTAATCTGTATTGAAATGCTAGAGGAGAGAGGATAATGGAAAGGATGTAAAAAGTAATAATAAAATAAATAATTGTGATCGCGCCACGCGCCGGTTGGTCGCGGATTGCGGGTGTGTCGTCGCGTCGCGTCACATTCGCGATTAGTTATCAACGTGTGGCACATGCATAATGCCCGCTATTGTACGTAATTATACGTTGGGAACGATTTAATGAACGTGTGCACGTTTCCACGCAAACGTTCCTTCGAATAACGAATGAAATAGACAAAAAGAAAGAGAACTAAACCATCTAGCCAATAGATAACTACTGTTAATCTACTAGTTAACAAACAACAAAACGTATATTTTTATGCGCAAATCTAGAACACTTACGTCAAATTACAAAAACAAAAAAGTCGAAACATGTGAAGAACGCAACAAGTTCTTCCGGTTCACGTTGCGTGCGAAAAGGTATTGAAGATTCGAATTTGGTTAAGTAAACTGTCGCTCAGAGTTTTGCAATTAGCAAGGAGCTACCAAAAGGCTTGCAGCATCAACTGTTGCTTTTCAATAGTTATTACTTTGAAGTGTGTACTTGTTGTTTTTCCCTTGAAACTACCTGGAAATTAATCGTAAATTGAGAATCATGAATGAACAATAAACGAAAGCTGAGAGCAAAATTGCGCAACATCTCTTGCGTTTCAGTGCCAATGCCATGGAAGAAATGTCGACCTCAATTGTTTCGTTGTCCTTCTGCCCCCCACCCACGAAACTCGTGCACCAGTGTTTCTTCGCTTTGTTCTAATTTTCTCAGATCCGTCCGGAAACGTATTCCTTCGAAGCGGCCCAAAAGGTCATCAGTTATGTTAACGCGTTCGCATATGAAACGAGGCCGCAAATCAGTTCCTACTTTTTTTCCAATGACGCGCAGTTTAAAATATGAATTATAAAATTATAGAAATATCAACAATTTAATTACAGTACAGTACAGTTTGAATGCCACTGTGATTTACGGCCTCCTCTGCTTTGATAACGATTCGATTTCTTCCCTCGTTTATCGTCGCGTTTCGCAAGCGACCTTTGCGACGACCCGCCAAAACAAATAAATCACCAATTAGAGTGTGACACAAAAAAAATCGTTACGATCGACGAACTTTCTGAACTCGCTGCGTTATTTTTACATTTTTCTCCTCGTATCGCGTAAATAAACAAATCCGCGGAAAGTTACAGACGTCTGATCTGCTCTGCCTTCTTGATTACGTATCAGATTATCGTGCACATTCATAATATTATCCTTTTTTTTTTCTTTCTGCATTTTTAGTTTATATGTAATTGGACGCGTTCACTAGATCATTTTCATTGTGTATCTATTTGGATTTGTGATAATTTCAATTATGGTTTCACATTTTCACATTGATTTTCTCAGAAACTATAATTGGTAGAAACGGTCCAAAAGATGCATATGAAACTTGAATATTTTGGGAATGTAACGTGTATTCAAATGTTGCTATAGTTTTATCCGTTTGGCTGTGTTTCGCATTCAAAGTTGTAAAAATGAAAAATTAAGCAGTGTCTTTACATTTTACTGATTATCTCAGAAACTATAATTGTTAGAATCGATGCAAAAGATGCATATGAAACTTGAATATTTTGAGAATGCAACGTGTATTCAAATGTTGTTATGGTTTTATCCGTTTGGCTGTAATTCGCATTCAAAGTTGTAAAAATTTAAAGTGAAGAAGTGTCTTCACATTTCATTGATTATCTCAGAAACTACAATTGATAGAATCGATGCAAAAGATGCATATGAAACTTGAATATTTTGGGAATGCAACGCATATTGAAATGTTGCTATAGTTTTATCCGTTTGGCTGTGATTCGCATTCAAAGTTGTAAAAATGAAAAATTAAGAAGTGTCTTCACATTTTATTGATTTTCTCAGAAACTATAATTGGTAGAATCGATGCAAAAGATGCATATGAAACATGAATATTTTGAGAATGTAAAGTGTATTCGTTTGTTGCTATGGTTTTATCCGTTTGTCTGTAATTCGCATTCAAAGTTGTAAAAATGAAAAATTAATAAGTGTCTTCACATTTCATTGATTATCTCAGTAACTACAATTGATAGAATCGTTACAAAAGATGCATATGAAACTTGAATATTTTGGGAATGTAACGTGTATTCAAATATTGCTATGGTTTTATCCGTTTGGCTGTAATTCGCATTCAAAATTGTAAAAATGAAAAATTAAGAAGTGTCTTCACATTTTATTGATTATCTCAAAAACTACAATTGATAGAATCGTTACAAAAAATGCATATGTAACTTGAATATTTTTGGAATGTAACGAGTATTCAAATATTGCTATGCTTTTATCCGTTTGGCTGTAATTCGCATTCAAAGTTGTAAAAATGAAACAGTGTCTTCACATTTTACTGATTATCTCAAAAACTATAATTTATAAAATCGATACAAAAGATGCATATGAAACTTGAATATTTTGGGATTCCAATGTATATTCAAATATTGCTATGGTTTTATCCGAGACATCGTAAATGTTAACGTTGTCCTTTCGCTAGTGAAAGAAATAACTATACAATGTTATGGGAAGCAATTGCAATTCCGTGTAACGGAATTACGCTTGAAATGTTTTAAATTTGTCTAAGGTGAATAATATTATTTATACAAGGTTTTCGCGTGCTTCTCCTTGCCGCTTGTATTAATTAAAATTAGTGCTTTTGTTTTTTACCATTGGTTTGATTCAGCTTCAGCGGCAAAGCCTTCGTCGATAATTGAGGGAATGTTACCATGGCAATTTGTACGTTTACACCAAGAGAAAAGTAAGAAGAAGAAGAACGTAAAGGTCGAATGTAAAATATTCGAGTAAACAAAAATCCCCAGATCGAAAACGAATAATAACGAAGTATCTTAGAAACTGCACTTAATTAAGTCGTAATTCGACTCAATATAAACTTCTTGTATAACTTAAAAACAATAATACGATGTAATTGATTATAAGAAACTAATTTCACAGATAACAAAAAGTAACTAAATTACAGTTACATAACTGATGTATGTTGGTACAAATGCCGGCACGGCAATGCTTTCGAGCATTTTTTAAACTTTGAACACGAATTACAGCCAAACTGCTAAAACCACAGTAATATATCGATTCCAGTTATTGTTTCCTACTAGATTTGAATGTTTCCTACTGGA